TGATTTTTTCCGCAACACGCTTCGTATTTGTGTAAGCTGGTATTCTCCAAAGAAATCGTTGGAGGCATATTGATTTGGTCCCTTCGTTGACCTTGCTGGGCCCGTTGATTATTTCTGCTGAAACGGCTTATGTGCTCATTTTAATATGCGTTAAATACGATTTTTAGGCACTCTGGGTAGATTTATATTGAAAATAGATAAGCAGGTGTAATGCTTATATCTCGATAGCTTTGTGGAGTATGTCAAGTTAAATTATTTCCTCCTACTTTTACCTGAAATTCTTCGAAAACAACTTAACCAATTTTGAGCACAACCGTGAAGATTACCAAACCGATCCACAGCGACGCCTGCCTAAACCACTATTGCCATATTGGTTAACGCTTTTCTAGTTTCACAAAACTAATACCTAAATCATTAATAAAGAGTCTTAAAATAAAACTTTTCAAGAATATTGCTCCTAATACAGTAGCGGACAAAAAAAGTGGATACCCTAGAAATGAGTGAGTATATGATTTTATTTAAAAACAAACAATAGCATAACAAATTTTCATGAAACTAGATTATATAATATATAAATATTACTATTAAAATTTAGTTTTTCATTAGATTAGAAGCCAAAAAAAAAAAAAACATTTGCGATTAAAACTAAACGCGATAAAGAAACTCTTTTTTTTTTAAATCAACTGGCGACTGCAAAATTTGTGCAGGTAAACCGTTATACGAAACGTATTCAGTTATTCGATCAACTTTTGACAAAGTCTTTGGTTTCTTATTTGTTATCCGCACTTTCCTTATGTGCCAGAGGTATTCTATACGGTGTACATCAGCACTGTTCCCAGGCTAGTCCAGTGATAAAACAGGCGATTCGGTTAAATATTTTTTTATTTAATAAAAATTAAAAATGTGAACTAACCATATAGCTTCAGTTACGCAATAAAAAAATATAGCATACCGATTTTTCTCGATGGGTTGGTGCAGGATCATTCTGAAAATTTACGTTGTCCCTATAGAAATTGTGCTCTTCATTTGAATTGATCAGGTTTTAAGAGGTATTGCTATTTAATTGCGTTGACAATTCCATCAATGAAGGCCAAATTTCCAACACCATGATAGGAAAAACACCGTCAGATCATCCGACTTTCCCCTTTCCCTCAATAACTCCTCTGCGAACGTACGACATTCCGTTTGAACGGAAAAGGTTAATTTTGGATTTATCTGAAAATATGACTTTTCTTCATACCAAAATCTGAAATAAGTTAGCCCATTTCGTTTCTGGTGTCTTTCTTTCAATGTTTTGAGTATGTTCTGAATACTTATCCGCTTAATACGGTGATCATTATTGACACTAGTCGTGTTCGACTTTTTCCACTTTTAATTTTATTTGCTGCGGCGTGTAGATTTAGAAATATAATTAAATACGCTCAGTAATGCACTTACTATAATAAATGCTTCCTTGTATAATACATTTTGTTTTGTTAAAACTTCTTCTTCTTCTTAATTGGCGTAGACACCGCTTACGCGATTATAGCCGAGTTAACAACAGTGCGCCAGTTGTTTCTTCTTTTCGCTACTTTTTTTCGCGTTAATTGGATATTCCAAGTGTAGCCAGGTCCTTCTCCAACTGGTCCTTCCAACGGAGTAGAGGTCTTCCTCTTCCTCTGCTTCCCCCGGCGGGTACAGCGTCGGATACTCTCAGAGCTGGAGTGTTTTCATCCATTCGGACAACATGACCTAGCCAGCATAGCCCCTGCCTTTTATCTACGACTTCAAAGTTATGACTGTCAACAGTGACGTGAGAGCCTAGTCGCGAGTGCGACGACTGTTTGTTTGGTGACAGGAGATATTTCGTCTTGTCCATGTTCACTGCCAGACCCATCTATTTTGCATCCTTGTCAATATCATCGGCATACGTCAGCAGCTGTACACTCTTATAGAAGATGGCATGCTTTCGTCCGACCATATTTTACAAAGAAGCTGATGCATGTTCCTTTGCAGTTCTTCGCCGCCGTGTTTAAATAGCTCGTCCAGCAACAACTGTGTTCCATTTTATTGTCCGCTATATACATAAATTATATTTCAAAGTGAAAGAAAACGGTTATTATCTTCATCTAGCCCTTTTATGATGAGGAATGACCTCGCTTGGGTCCTTTTACAATGTATGTATAAGCTACTTTATCATTAAAGAATTGGCATTAGAAATGTAAATGTTGTTCTAATTAAACTTTTTTCTAACAAAGAACTTCGTATTCGGTATCTAGCGAATTTAAACTCTACTATTGACCATTTTTATATGAGGGTTTCCACACGTGGACGCAGAATTTTCACTAAGCTCTATTTCATTTCTTCATTGACGGATCGTAAACAGCTATAATTTAGCAACACTAAGCCTTAAATACATATACAATTTAGGTTGATTTATATTATTTTGGAAAACGAATATTAATAAACACACACATGTGGTATGATCGTGCCGCCAAAGCGCTAGTATCTTCGCCTACTGGAGCTTGGCGATGTCAACGTTGGTCAATGGCAATCTCCGATGTCCACTGGCATTATCGTGTAAACTGCATTTTCAGTTTCTTTCAGTTTCGGCATCGCAAATGTTATTTGCATATACAATTGGCGATATGCAAATGCGGTCGTTTTTGTGTTTGCGAAATCGCAAAGCAAATCTGGCGAACGGTAACGCGAAAAATGCCTCAACAGATGCTTAACAGGGGGGTAGCGGAGTGTTAAACACATGAGACAATATGGACCATAAGCAATTGGAAATACCAGCGGAGTGCGTGCACAAAATGAAGCAACGTTTGGGAAGTGGAGAATCACACTCAAACGTTGTGTTGTTGTTATGTCTGCTGCCGCCGCTGCTGCGCAAGTGTGGTCCGCCACGAGCGGTTACTCGTGTAGAGTTCTTCCAAAATTATTATCAAACACCTGTATTTGATCATGCGAAGCGACGGCTGTCCTCAGAATCGCTCGAAATCGGACTGTAAAAAGTATGGAGAAAATGCGTTTAGTTGCAATTCTAGGAAGTCCGTTCGCATAAAACCCCACACCCCATGTTTGTATGAGGCGAATAACTTACATTTTTGCATATGAATAGGAAATACTAATCGAGCAGTCTTTGTTTTTTTTTTCGCGGTAGCGAGCATTGCCTTTGGCTTTGTGCTCGCACTGTCCGCCCAAAGTGTCCACGGTACATAACTTGCAACACTAAAGTTTGGTGAGACAACTTGTACTTGAGAGCTCACTGAACTTACTCGTACATAATTTTCATACAATACCTACCGTGGACAATGAGTGCCGTATAGACGGTGTTGTCACCGTTGTTGCCGTTATCACAGCGTTTCAAAAGGAATTGAACTTTGGCCAAAAGATTCGTTTTTGTTTTGCAGTTTTTCACTTCTGACTCGATCGCTGCAAATGCAAATGATTACTTTGTTGTTGAGGCCTCTAGAGATTACTATACTATACGGTGGTGGGTTGTTGAATTCTTGCTTTGCGGTTTGGTTGCTCGGAAAGTGTTGCCCAGAGGGAATTAATTATTTTTTCAGTTAAAATTTACAACACTCCAATACTTATTTGCCTTACAAATAAACTTGTAAAACCCTTGTTATGCTTCTGTAAGCAAAGTGCCTGAAAAGTGATGAAGAGCTAACAAAATATATGAACACTATATGAAATAAAGAAGTAATAAGTTCCGACAGAAGAATACTTCATATATAATGCAATGAAGAGCTAACTTCAAGCGATACTGGTCTAAATAATTCAAGATCTCAGCTATAGAAAACGGAAGATTTAGAGCGTTGTAATTCCTTTATAGTAACACCTGTATCTTACTTCTATTGTTAAATTCATCTTTAAGTATTACATTAAATATGTATTTAAATGTACTACTGTGCGCGAATACCAATTCGTCTAAATATTTTTTTAAGGAACAAACAGAATGTTGAAATAGTTTTTTTGATTCGTACAAATTATTCAAATAGAATCGAAAACGCGTTGACGACTTACCACGTTCAGGACGAACATCATCATCAATTGATGATCAACACGTCAATAATATAAAGGAATTCGAGCATGAGAATTGACGATTAACAGTCAGAAATCTTACCGGTATCGTGGAAATATCGGGAGGGCAGTGAAAATCATTTTGAAAAATCATTTGGGTCCAAGAAAAGTGAAAACAAGATTGGTTACAGAATCACTCAGTTTTTTCAAACGCCATGAAACGAATTATTACTGACAATGAGTGTTGAATCTATCCTTACGACCCAGAAACAGACGATCAATCGATCGAATATCGTGTCGGAAGTGAGCCGAAGCCAAAAAACCAAAGCAGGTCAAAAATCAAGGTTATGTTGACAGTTTTCTTCGATTATCAAGGTACGATGCACTTCGAATTCCTTCCGACAGGCCACACTGTACACAGGGAGTAAGATTTGAGTGATATGCGTTGTGTGTGCGAAGCTATTCATAAAACTAGGTCGGAATTATGGGCCGACAACACTTGGTTTTTGCTCTACGATAATGCGCTATCGCATACTGCCTTTATTCCTCGTAATTTTCGGTCAATTTTCAACCAATATGGTTTCGGGTTACTTCTGGCTATTCAACAAACTCAAACGACCGTTTCGGTGAAGCCATTTCGAGTCAATGGAATCTACTAAATATGAATCGCTACATTTATTGAAGGCTATTGCAGAAATTGACTTTAAAAACTGTTTCGAGAATTGAAAAAACTTTGGCCAAATTGTATTATGGCCAAGGGGATAACTTAGAGAAACCGCATAGATTTTGAAGAACAAATTAAGAATTCTAAAATTATAAACAAAGTCTTGCAATTTTTTGTTCGTGGTAGTAAATACCGAATATACGGATCATTTTTCTTCTAAGATATAATTAAATGTTTCAAACGAACTTAGTCTTATTTACTTGGTTTGTTCGATTGCTACCGAAAGACCTTTAATTACTTAAGACTCGCTACGAATAAAACTCTGTAGATTGGACAAAATTTTATTAACATAGTCATGTACGAATTAATTTACATGAATTTGGAAGTGCCAAAAGTGCGATAAATCTGTAACCACAAGTCATAACAGCTAAACCCGATCTCAAAAATTTTGATTTGAGTCCCTTAAATCCCCATTTTATATTTAATGGCTAACATTTTGATTTAATGATCTGTAATCAACTTTAGTGGTTATAGAAATATAACTGGAGCATATACCAATGCTTGCTAAAACACATTCACACAAAACATCGGTGAACATTAATAATGTTGCATAATATTGCGCACAATATGTTTTTCGTTTGTGCATTTTCAAAATATTTATAAAATGGGGTTTGATGGTCTTGAATGGCCGCGACTTCCTACTTTCCATAAACACGCAGTCTATTTGATATACCCATCTATATTTGATATCTTTTAGCGACATTTGCCTCCCAAATCAGTCTACACATTTCCTCATCTGCTGCTTCGAACACACGCACAGCCTCAACATCTTTCACCATATATTTGGCGATCATTTTGTCCTCGTGGAACTCCCGTACTATAGTTGAAGGAATATTGCCCATTTGATGCTGAATCAATACGTTGTTGTACAGCGAGAAGGTGGTCCGCATTTGACGTCCGTCCAAAGTGAACTCATCGAAGGGTACACACAGTTCAAAGTGTTGTATGGTCGTGGTAAAGTCAGAAGCCGTTATTAGTGAGTAATATATGCCATTCTTACGTAATGCTATAACCGGTCGTACAGAGTTTCCAATTTTGCGCAAAACAGGACCAACACCGAGAGCCGCCATATATTGATCGAAGTTTGTACCGTCCACGAGTTTATATATCTTTCCTTCCCATTTTGCCACTGGTTCATACGGTAAACTTAATGACGTTTTCCTCCTGTTTCTTGAATTTTGATTGTTAATTTCTTCAGCGTTGAGACTTTTCTTTTTTAACATTTTTTTAGGGAAATCGGATTGCGCTTTTAGAACTCTTAGACATACGCGGCGATTCTCAATTTCATCATGTCAAGTAAAGTCTAAAATAAAATAAGAGTATATAGAAACAATTATTATATTTATACTTTTGGTTTGACGAAACAGAAAATGAAAATAAAATATTTAAATTTGTCAATATTCGTAGAGATGAAACAAGTAGGATCGAAATATAAAATGTTATTGCTGGGCAAAATTTAAATTTTATTATGAGAGAAAACATTTCTAAGCTGACCGATTAACACAAGTGCCTTTAAAGTGTTTTAATGTTGAAACTTTAGTCAAGACACTTTTTATGCGTTCAGGGTTTTAATATGATTGTACGAAGGTAGTTCGATAAGTAATTAAAAATAGAGACTTTCAAGTTTAGAGACAAACAGTATTCACCTGAATAGACCTATTCGGTTGTAGTCCAGCAGTTCGTCTGTTCCCTAGGTATCCGGTGGATATCAGTGGATCAATATTTCGTCGACGCTCACTAAACTCCTTCGAAGCTTCAACAGGGTATTCTTGCATTTGTTGTCCAACTAAAAAACCAAGACATACATACAATTTTCACATAAGATTGCACCTTTAATACTTCCTGCTTCAATATTAAATCGTGGAATCTTGTCAAATTACTAACCGCGTTGGTGACCTATCAAAAAACGACTAACGATCCTTTTGAAACCCGCCCAATAAAATTTTCACGCTCGCTATCGAAGAAGAAGGAATTATCGTATCCATCATCCAAGCGCTCTTTGAATTCGACTGATCTTGTTGCTATTAAAATTTTCAAAAATTCGCACACCGACTTCCACAATCCGATTGGGCTGATCAACATTGTCCCTTATATCCTAGTTTCCTGTGAGGCTAATACTTATCGGTCCACTCTCGAAAATTTCAAATTTTTTTTTTTATATCTTTTTAATACTAAAGGATGATACATTTCGAGCTTCCCGTCGTTTTTAAAGAAAAACAAGAAAAAACGTTAACTTCGGTTGCACCGAAGCTAAATACCCTTCACAGGTGCATTTATGTTTGTAACTATATGTTCAGTTTGTATGGAAGCTATATGCTATAGTGAGCCGATCTGAACAATTTTTTCGGAGATTACATTGTTGACTTAGAAAATTGTCTATACCAAATTTCGTGAAGGGGAAGTTTTCCATACAGGAACTTGTTTCCGATCGTTCAGTTTATATGACAGCTATATGCTATAGTGAGCCGATTGGAACAATTTCTTCGGAGATTACATTGTTGACTTAGAAAATTATTTATACCAAATTTCGTAAATATGTCTTGTCAAATGTGAAAGTTTTCTATACAAGAACTTCATTCCGATCGTTCAGTTTATATGGCAGCTATATGTTATAGTGGTCCGATATCGGCAGTTCCGACAAATGAGTAGCTTCTTGAAGAGAAAATGGTGTTTGCAAAATTTCAAAACGATATCATAAAAACTGAGGGACTAGTTTGTATATATACAGACAGACGGACATGGCTAAATCGAATCAGCTCAACATACTGAACATTTATATATGTACTTTATAGGGTATCCGACGCTTCTGGGTGTTACAAACTTCGTGACTTTATACCCTGTTCAGGGTATAAATACAGAAACTTCAAATTTAATGGAAAATGTTTATTATCATTCAAAAGATATCAAAAAGATATCACACAATCTCCGTGGCCAATCGACCGATGATATTATCTGCCCACTGAAGTGTCTCCCAATAAATCCATTAATTATTGCTATATATCGCAAGTCGCACCGAGATCACCATGAAATGGCAGCCTCAGGTTTCTCTTCGTTACAATGCGGCAATTTTGTTTTCTTAATACCCATCGCTGAACAAAATTTGGCTTGAAAACGTTGGAACTTGGGAAGGTCAAGCGGCTTCAGTTCTTGCACGAGCTGTATTTTGTATGCTTTCAATTTAAGATCTTGATGTAAAATGCCAAGTCTTTCCCTATGTCAGTCCGTGTTGTTGCGAACGGCGGCGAATCGACTCTCCACGGTCTTCATGTACATTCTCAGCTACGGCTGCTATATTTTCCGCACTGTGTGCTGAAGTGGTCTATTAGTTCGAATATTATCCAATAATGAATGCTGGTGTTGCGAATAGAATGCTCAATTGGCCGATTATGTTGACCATAAGTTACGTCTTTACAGTATACAAAGTTTCGTAATAAAGTTGAACACTTTTTAAACGTTGTTCAGGAGTAATACCCGTGACAGACGACCAGAATTAATGCGCCTAAATCAACGCTAAGGTGCATTGAAATTTTATGGTGACAGACGGCAGACTTTTGCATTTAGACAACTGATAGTGAAATTTGTTTATTTATTTAGAAACAAGTGAAATAAAAATAAATAAGATAAATTATTAATTGAAATTTTGGTATTTTTGAAAAATCAATATAAATTTAACGAAAAACAATGGTTTATTATTAACTACGTCAAAAGATAATAGAGTGAAATTACAAGCAATAATTGATTGTAATGCGAAAAAAGTGTACGAAAATGTTAAGAATATGGGAAAAGTGGATAGCAAACTGTGCGTTATTTATTTTCTGCCATCTAAAAATATTAAAAATTGGTTTTGTTAATATACTTGCACATAATTTAATTAGCAATATAAAACTGCATACCTCTGTTACTATAAAGGCAAAGGAGAGGCAGATTTCAAGCCATGTCTGTCAAAAACTAGCAAAAATCAGGTAAATGCTCGAAATTCTTGTGCCTTGAAAACTTACATTAACATGGGTCAAATGCGCAAGTAAATGTAAATTAAGCCCGCTAATGTATATTACCGCTGTCGTCTGTCAGGGCTATACGTTTTTCCATAAGAAATGCCAAACAATTTGTAAAATAATAACATGGCAGCTTGACACGACTCACGCCTAATCTGTCAAAGAAAGTATATTCAAAAAAGTACCACTACTTGAATCACCCAGTAGAAGCATTACATGTATATCATTAATCAAACAATTTAACTTAAGAGCTTCAACTTTTAATATATCCTGGTAGTTTTACCATAAAAATTGGTCCCCTATGAACGGGTTTTTAAAAAAGTAAAAGAAATAAATTTGTATTACAACGAGGTGACGTTCATGGCGATCAGGAATAGACTGCTTTATTTTATAAAATTGAATGAAAAAGGAGCTTATTCTAATTACAACTTGCTTATTAACTTATTTTTAACATATAATTGTTGAATAAGCATACTTTGATTAATTCGCACAATTCTTAAGAAATTCACTTGTTGAATTGAATTATATTTTGATTATTTTATTTGTTTATGTAAATTGCAAAAGCCGGAAATGGTGTTATGTTGCAATTTGCTTTGATAATTCATCGTTTTTGTCAATTGCCTTGTCAGTTGTTTTTACGTACGTATTCGTACATGTAACTACTCCCCCCTTTATAGTAGAATTCTCCTGAATTCTTTTATTTAATATTATTTTTATATATTTGTGTTTTTTGATAATGACAGTAGCTACTAATATAATTGTAATTATGCTTAATATGTTATATTTTCGTATGTATTTTCAATTTAGAAATGCCTTCTATATTTGATTTATGTTCTTCGACTATTTCGTCAAAAGTAATTTTTTTCGTGAAATTCAGACTGTCTTTATATTTTTACGTTACAATATTTTCTTTTATATCTTTACAAATTTGAGAAATAATAGTCATTACTTTTAATTGAACAATTATTAAACCTTATTACATAGTTTGCACTTATTAATGGTATTTCCTGATTACATGTATTGTTAATTTTTAAAGTATTTGCATTTTTAATAAGAACTGCTTTTATATTTAATTGTATTATTTCGAGTTCTTTCAATTATTTCTTAAAATACAATGTKTGCTTATTTTCATTTGTTCTAATGATCTATTATCTTCAAACATTAATGTTTTATTTTTGTAGGTAAATATTTCTTCTATTTTAGCATCTATTTCATTATTTTCTCTGTTAGGTATTGGGGTAATTTTTCTTATTTGTACATCTTCAAAATTTTTTGGTATTTTTATCCCTAATACTAGAAATGTATTATTCACAATTACTGTTCCTAGTTGTAAATATTTTGGTTTATTATAGTTAAAACATTCGGGTTTATTATCCCAACATTTTCTTGTATGTGTTCTATTTTATTTTTATTTTTTAACAACTGAATTTTGGTGTACTTGTCTAAATATAGAGTTTGTTTGTATTCATCATATATAAGCTTATTTATTGAATTAAACTCTCTTCTATTTTTACTCTGTCAAATCTATTGTCCCGTCACAATGTTGTGTCATTAAAGCTATTACTGTCCACATTATCCAAATTTGTAAATTTCAAAATTCAAATTTTTCGGAAATTGTATTATGGAATCTTTCAATATCTGTATTACCCGTATGACTGTTGTGTTTGGTTAAATGGAGTTCTATATTTTCATTATTTAAAAATTCCTTAATTCTTGTAGCATTAAATTCATTGTCAGCTAATATTTTCTTCGGTTTTCCTATTTTGGTAAAATAGTCTGTTTTCTGTTACTAATTGTTCGATGAATGTTATGTGATTTCTATCAGTTAAAGGATATTCCATATTTGGAAAATTTGTCCATAATTGTTAATAAATGGAATCTTTTTATTACATAGGTGTCTATGTGGATTATTTCATTATTCTTCGTAGGCGTTTCTGTATGAAAAAATTTTTGTTTGATACGTCTCTTATCATATTTTAATTCTTGACATATTTCGCGTTGGTTAATTAATATTTGTATTAACTTTCCTAATTTAGGATAATAAATTTTATTTCTAAGTTGATTATATGTTTCTTGTATGCCTGAATGCATACTTTCTCTAATGTGATACAATGAAATTTGTTTAACAGCTTCCACATCTGTTTCTATATCCTGTGCTCTCATTGTCCTCTTTCTACTATATTGTACTGTCCGAATAAGTTTCCACTTTTAATTTTGTTATATATTTTTTTAATATTTCACTCAATCTATCGAAATCACACTCTGAAATAAAAATAATTCTTTTCCATGTACACATCTGTTTTAGTTCTTCTGTCTTGTTGTTTATCAAAATAATTTGGGTTTCATATTTATTAGCTATCTCCTCCTTTATATAAAAATT